TTAATTTAATCAAATAAAATTAACTTAATACTTTTGATTAAATCCGTTCTAACCATGTTTTATATTAATAAATTAAATTTAAAATCTTCATACTCAAGGTAAAATTCTTATGAGTTCTAAGAGGAAAGTTAGAGAAGAACTCGCTTGAAGGTTTCGAAATGAAACCAACGCTTCAAGCCTTAATTGCCTCATCCAAATTCGACGTCCTCTTTTTCAGAATCGGCATCCTCCTTGTCAGCCTTCTCTTCTTCTCTCTCTCTACCTTTTTTATTTTCTAATGTAAAAAACTTTTAACCCTAAAGCCTTATGTGTATATCCAAATCCTATTTCTAGTAGGATTACCAAATAAAAGAAATAATAATTATTAAATAATATATATACACATATATTATATAATATATATTTGTATATTTCCTTCCATGCTAATCCTTAACAAATTAAATCATAAACATATATACATATATCAATATATATATATATATATATATATATATATATATATATATTTCCTTCCATACTAATTATTAATTAATTAAATTTATATACATATAATTATACATATATATATAATTATGCAAGGATAGTTATTTAAACATCTTTATAACTATGGGCCCTTATTAATTAACCCAACAAGGCTTTCTTCCAACCCCAATACCACATCTTTTGGTCCAACTTTCCTTAAGCCCAATCCAATTAATTTAAATAAATAAAATAATTAATTAAATACTAAAATTAAAATAACTAATTACATGAAGCACATAAACAAACAAGAATTTACAACTAAGTCACACCATACAAATAAAATCAACACACCAATAATTCAATCAATAATCAAGCACACAAACAATCAATCATCATACATAATCATGAATTATAACTTAATTAAAATAAGATAATTAATTTAGCACTCAATAAAATAAAGTAAATCATTTAAAAATAAAATAAAATAATTAATCCCAATTAAATTAAACAAATCATTTCAAAATACAATAAAATTAATTAATCCTAATTAATAAATACTTTAAAATATTGGGGTATTACACCTTTCACCTTGATATTGCTGACGTGGCACCGATGCTAATGTGATCGATGACATGGCAACTAAAGTGGCAGGTGACTTGGCACTACTGTTGGCACCTCTGCTTCGTGGCAACTGACATGGTAGGTGAACTGGCACAACTACTGCCACCGTTACAGAGTGTGTTTGACGTTGCACCAATGCTGACATGTCAGGTGACGTAAGGTGGATCTGTTAAGATCACGGAGGTAGGTGCGGAGCGTGAATAGGTCAACCCGATGGAAACTACAATAAACTGATGGATGATGAATTTGTGAAGATTCACCGCGTTTAAGGCATATGTGACCGCATGATGACCACTGATGACGCATTGTGGTGCAATGACGGAGCTAATTTGACACGTTGAGGTGCGGGATTACCGCTGGTGTGCGTGAAGGTGCATGGAAGAGTGAGATTACCACTTGTGGCGCATGGTAACAATACATGGTAACAATATATTATAGAATATATTCTAACAATATTGAATGTGTAAGTTTCTTGTCAAGATTAAAAATATCAATAATACTAAAAAGTCTTACTTTTGAAGAATTATTTTTTCAATTGAATACTCACGTTGGTTTTGTTTCCACCTTAATTAATAAATTGGGTAAATTACTCCGACCTCTCCTCAAGTTTAGTTGTATTACCTATAAATGAAACTTTTGACAAAATTACTATAATACTCCCTATCAAATTTAAAACTGTTAACTTTTGTAATGAAAGTACAAAAATACCCTAGAGGAAAAAAAAAACTTATTTACATATAGTTTATTACTTATTATAATTTTTTAATTCTACACATATATCAATTGGAAATTTAATTCCTATAAATTTTAATTTAGTTTTTAAAGCTTGTTAATTAAATTTTACAAATTTTACATTAAAAATAAAATTATGTGATTATAAAATTTAATTTTAAAATATTGGCTAATAAAAAAAAAAACCTGTTATATATACATATTTTATTAATTAAGTGTTAAAATATTAAGGGTATTTTGCTTTGAAACTTTTGGTTCAAAATTTCATTTCATAAGATTAATAAAGTTAATTTTATCATTTTATTTTATATAATGGTATTTTTGGAATTTTAAAATTACTAATTTACTGAAGACGCAAGAAAATACCGTTTTATATTAGGAAAAGATTTTTATCAATATGCCTCTTCTTCCTTCTCTAGCTTCTATTTATAAAAGCTTACACTTGCCCTAATTTCCTACATTTCTGCCTCTAGGTTGTAGGTTGATGGGCCTTCTTTCTTTTATGGGCGATCTGTTTACTCCAAACAAGTCGCCTTAACAAAGGCCTATTTTCATAATTTTTGACTAAATACAGTTTAGGCTTGAACTATCGACCTCTTGGATGATGAACAGCCTAGTCGATCGGCTTTGTTGGGTTGCACCTGGCCTGGCCCAGGCCTGTTCGCATCTCCCAACTCTTCATTAACGGTAAAGGTGTTAGAGTTAGTCAACCAAACTTCAATGGAGGCTGACCAAAAAAATTTAACAACTTTAAGCCAAGGGTAATTAAGGCATAATTTATCATCGCCCCATGTATCTTTGATATTTGCACTGATCTGGACCTTTTTTCATGGGCAAAAATCTCTCATATGAGGCAGCAAAGTAATCAAGCATGCCCTTGCATCACTCTCTTTATCTTGCTTGCATGCTAATTTTGTCATCTCTCGAATTCTAGAGGAGGTGCTTCAGTTTGTGAAAATTGGACTATTGTCCTCTTGTTTGCTATGTTTTCATATTGTTGCCAAAAAAAAAAAAAGGGCATAATTTATCCTAATAAATAACAAGTAATTAATATCTAAAAACATAAAACATATTTTTATAATAACACAATGATATAATAACACTTATCCATTTTAAATTTAAATATGTCAAGCATATTAATTGGAAGGGTAAAGGGCAAAAAGCCCCCTTGAATTATGTTTGAATTTGCAAATAACCCCCTTGAACTATATTTTGTGCATAAAACTCCCTAAACTATCTCATTTTGTTGCAACATACCCCAAGAACTATACTATATTTCATTAAATGACCATAATGCCCACTCTTATTGAATTACATTTAATATATTTTTCTTATCTAAATAAATTATGAAAAAATTCATACTAATTTGATGAGATATTTTTCATTAAATTTGCATAAATGTATCTTTAATTTTTTTAATGAATTATTTAAATAAAAATTTTTAGTAGATTTTTTTTTAAAAAAAATTAATTAATTTTTTAATTTTTAATGAATATATTACATGAAAAGAAGGCATTTTTTGCAAAAGTATTTTATTAATTTTTCATCAATATATTGTATGAAAAAGATGACATTTTTTTACGATAAAAATGTTTAAATTGGTTATAATATGTTTTATTATAAATAATAAAGTTTTAATAATAAGTTAATTAATTTAGAAAATAGTAGTTACAAATCTATTTATCTATTTTTTTTTTTTTTCATTTCTATGATAAATTGATACTAAAAATAGAATTAAGGTAAATAGTATAATTAATATTTACATAAGAGAAAATATAATAAAAATTTAATAAGAAATGAAAATTTTAATGAGAAAGGGTAAAATAGTCTTTTATGATAAATTTGTTCTTAATTGCAACAGGGCCAATTTTTAGTTTAAGGAAGTTATTTGCAAAAAATGTAATAATTTAAGAGAGTTTTTTTTTTTTCACTTAACCCTTAATTAAAATTATGTATTTTTTATTCAAATTTCTAAAAGGTTGTTTTTGAAAACTCTTGTATTTTTTTTTTAGGAAGATTCCAAAGAAAAAGAAAGCTTGTTTGTTTTGGGTAATTAATATTATGATAAGGGTAAAGTGCATTAAACCCTTCTGAACTATTGGTCATTTGCAAGAAACCTCCCTGAACTACAAAAAAAACCCTGAACTATGATTTTGTTACAGTTTACCCCCTTGAACTATTGGTCATTTGCAAGAAACCCCCTTGAACTACAAAAAACCCTCCTGAACTATGATTTTGTTGCAATTTACCCCTCTGAACTATGATTTTGTTGCAATTTACCCCCATGACATCAGCTTCCGGTACCGAAAATTTTGAAAGACCAGTTTACCCTTATAACACGTACACTGCGTCGTTTTAACTTATACACTTCTTATTTTTTTTTTCTACCAAAAGATGCCTTTCACTCAATACAACCCAAAACTAAGAGCTAGAGAGAGAGAGAGGAGACCAAAGAAATCCGAGGTCGGCGGGATGGCTCGGTCTCGGATAATGGCGGCTTGTGCACGGAGGACTCGGCTATGATGAGAGCTCAGTTGACTCGGCCGTGAACTGTGGAGGCGACAGCGAGCTCAAGGGGGTTCGGCGGTGAACTGTGGACGGCTGTGTGCTCGAAACACGGATGACGATGTGCTCGGCTATGGAGATGGCGAAATGGGCCAGCGAGATTGGAATGGACGGTGGAATGGACGGGCGAGCAAGGTGAGCTGAACGGTGGGTAAGGCGGTGACGGCGATGGGCTGACGCAACGGTGTAGAGAAGTGCGATATATATGGCCGACAGATCTGGCTAGTGATGCAATGGCTATGATGGAGCTATGACAGGAGACCCACCGAGCCCAGCAATAAATTCCTCGACTTCATCGTCCCTTTCAATCAATCAATTTGCGTGGATAGGATAAATTACAAAAATATATATAGTTCATGGGGTTTTTTTGCACATATCTCAATAGTTTAGGGGTTTTTTTGTAACCTTTATAGTTCATAGAGTTTCTTATACATATCCCAATAGGTCAGAATTTTTTTTTTTGTAATTTTTATAATTTAAGGGAGTTTCTTGCACATATCTTAGTAGTTCAGGTTTAACGCACTTTACCCATTTGCGATAATGAGATGTTTATAAAGGGTAATGCCAAGAAAAGTTAACAAGAGTTATTATTTACTACTTTGGAAGGAAAAGAATAATTGGAGTGTGTCTTATGCAAAATATAGAATGGCGAAGACCATTGAATATGGTCAGACTTCTCTGCAAAAGGTTGAGGAAGCCTTACATAGATTTCATCATTTCCAAAACATTGAAAAGATCGTAGTTGTTATTCCAGATTTTCTCTCTTTTATATTACATATCATATATCGCCCTATATCTCTCAGTGTTCTCAATCCATAACGAAAGGTATGAATTTCTCTGTTCATTTAATATAATATATATATATATATTTGGGTTCATTTGCTCGATTAGGTTTATGAACTCTATGTGATTTTTTTTTTTTATTATTTTTATTATTATTATTTTTTGGTTATGTAATCTGTTTCTGTGGTTTGATTTGATTTTTTATTTTTTTTTGGGAATATTGGAAACAGAAATTGCAATTGATTGAAAAAACAATCAAGTCGATTTTTCTGTTTCTTGATTCATCTGATTTTTCTGTTTTTCATTGGGCTGATCAATTGATATCAAGTTCTCTTTCCAAGCAGAAATTTCAAAAGAGTCTTGAGGAGTTTACTTGTGTGTGTGTGAGAGAGATTATTTAGCGTGGAAGTTAAATTGTCTTTTAATCATTTCTGTTCTACTAATTTAGTGTGATTCTCAATCCATTATAATTATTTTATATCAGAAACTAGGGCATCAACTTGCACGCTAAAATTTACGTTATTTAATCATTTATGCTGTTCTACTAATTTAGTGCGACTCTCAATCCATTATTGTTTTTTTAATATCAGAAACTATTTGCATTCTGTCTGGTTTCTGAGAAAATAGTGGAAACTAAAAGATAAAAACTTAAGAAGGGTTTGATATTGGGTTTGAATACTTTTTTTTCGCTTTATATGGTAAAAGAAAATGAGGCATTTCATTCCCCCTGTTGGCTTTTATAAAAGCATAAAATTTCTCTGAAAAGTTTCATGATTTTTTAAAAGTTACATTTGGATGCATTTCATTTCTTTTCCTTGGTCACTAGATTTTGTTTCAAAAAGTTCAGAGATTGTGAATTTTTATTTTAGAAATTGAAGATAACCTTATTTGGAAATGCAAATCTAAGAGAATTATTGAATTGCGATGTTGATGAAGGTGTAATAGGGTGGTGCTGGCAATTTTAATTGTAGTGCATACTTTCGGTTTCTATCCTATAGAGTTTCATATTCCTGCCTCATGGTCTTGTTATTGGAGTTCCTTATTTACCAGCGATCATGTGTTTCTGTATATGTGAATATTGTTTCATTATATTAAATAACAGCTTTGTTGTCTTTGAAATTTTAATTTTTTTTTCTTTTCATTACAAAAATGAGACGGTTTTTAAGAGAAATCTGAAGAAATAGGATAGGACACTCAATTACACTAAACCTTTTCCCCGACTATTAAGAAATAGGACACTATGCTTTTGTTAATATCATATCTTTTTCAGCTAGTTAATGTCTTGAAATTATCTATATATGACAACAGATGATCAATAAGTAGCTCAGATTAACTATATATGACGTAAGGATTAAGGGGATATCACAACAGCCAATTCCAGACTATAGAAGAAGATGGTACTAGAATTGGACCTCAATGATCCACCTCCTGTTGAGGTGGGTAACCCCTTGAGTTTTGATCCTAACTTTGGGCAAGCTGGAGAGCACGGACTATCTCATATACAAGTGGGATCTGATTCTGAACCCATTGATGATGAACTTGTCATATGCTCCCCAAGGAGCTTTGCTGAGGTATGAAAATCTTCTATTATATCGTTCAAAAAAATTCTTTGATTTTACTTGCTTTCTAATTAATCCTCCTTTATTTTTACTGTTCTTTTCCTTCCCTTCTCTTTTTTTGCCCCCTCTAAACCTCATATTAGGCTAGGGACAGGGCCAGAAGGAATCGTGTGGTGATAGAGGTGCTTGATGAAGAAACTGAATTTCGAACCAGCCATTCAGGTTTTGCCTTTTTGGCAATTATTTTTAACTTCTCATGTTGCTTTGATCATGTAACTTTGAAATGTCAGACCTAGTACCTTTTTTGAAAAAGAAAAAAAGAAGAAAGAAATTTTGCATTCATCTGCAGGAACTGAAAGTTTGTAAGCATTTGCTTACAGCTTTAAACTTGACACACTAGTTACAAGTCAACGCCATATCTTATCTTGCAAAAGTCGTTTGGTTTTTGAAAATTTTAAAATATCTTTAAGCAGGAGTTCCCACTTGTTTACTTTTTCTACTCTTGTTGTGAACTTTGTTTTTTATTTTTCACCTTTTCTTCCTTTTTTTATTTTATTTCATTTTTTAAATTTTTATTTTTTTTTATAAGTAAGAATTAAATAAAAAGGCGTTCAAAAGGGGAACGCGTCTCTTATACTAAAGTGGAACCGGGGTCTAAGGCTCCAAAGAATCCAAAAAAATGATTAAATCATCGGAAGAGGAGCAAGAACTCATCTTCACATAACTGAAAAGAGAGCGAATAATATGAAGTTTCAGCGTTGCTGTGGACGACTCCTTCCCTTCAAACATTCTGCTATTCCTCTCCTTCAAATGCACCACCATACGCAATGTGGGACAATTCTCCAGTAATCGCGTACACCACTTCTCACACGACATCCTCTCCAAGCATGAATCAAATCCTTAGAAGAATGTACTTTTTTTTCTTCCTTTGGCCATTGATGGAGTGATGTTATCCCTCACATCTCCAAAAATCTGGAGATAATATTCCTGTCAGGTTATTATTACATTTCATTTAAACTAGGCTTATTTATCACGTATCCCACTTCTGTATTTTCCTGCTTGTGCAATTTTTCATTGCAGGGATGTTGAATGAAATACAGGCCTTAAATATTATTCCCACAATTTTATTTTCTTAGCAACCTCAAGTAGATTGTTCAACAACCTATATGCTACACCTATTTTGATTCTTTGGACTCTTGATGAATGTTGCATTGTTACTGTTTACTGGAAATGTGAGGATCTGTGATACACTTAATTATTGTCAACTTTTAGAATAGTATTTCCTTAATCATGCTTTGAATGCCTGGAATTCTTTTTATTTATTTATTTGGTTCGTAAATTCCAATTTCACTCGACTTAGTATTTCGACATTTTGGAAGAGACTTTACCTCACATCAGTCATCACTCATGTGCTTTGATTACAAAGAAGGCAGTTCGGCATATTTTTTAAATCTTGTTTTGCTCAATTGCTGTCTCGTTTAATATCTTTCTCAATATTTAACACACTTATGCATGCTCTGTAAATTGGTGTTTAACAGAATCAGCCATTAGGTTGTCTCCTAGAAGCAATCGACGTAGAATAACTTCATCAAAAATACCAAATGCCAATGGTGATCTTTGCACAAACTTGGTAAGGAAATGACAAAACCAAGGTCTTTTGTCTTAACTTCTCTGTTATGCTAGTGCTCTTTATGTGATTAAAGCTTCTTGATTTCGCCCTGATGCTTTAACCAATCAGCTCTTCTTCTCCCTGCTGTTATATGATTGAATTATGGTTATTTTTGGAACATATTTTTATCGAACATGGGATTGGCATCTGGTCGTTTCACTAAATTTTTGGCAATTGTACCTTGTTTGAATAGCGTTAGTCCCAAAATAAATCTAAATTGTTGAATAGATTAGCAAATAATTAATTTAAAAAAAATTATCTTAATTATAGTTTGAATGCAACAATAAGAATATGCTATGTATAGAGTGTAGAAATAAATAAATCATGCAACCACAAAGAACACATGATTTTTACATGAAAAATCTCAAAGGGGGAAACATTGAGACCTAGTCCAGGCAAACCAAAGCCAATTATATGAGAAAGAGATTGCAGTTTAGGTTGACAGATTCTACCCCAAGAATCCCCTAGTTACCTCCTAACACAGAAGACTCCAAAGTCCAAACCTTTTTCTAAAAATCTCCGTGTAGCTCTTCTGCTACATTTGTCCCTCAAGAACCTGCTTCTCTAGCAAATTTTGTGTCAGCCAATAGTCATCCAGTTGTGTGTTTGTCGTGTAGAAACATTTTGGTGTTGATGTCTATGTAAGCAATAACCTCCACAACATGATCAACAGTATGAATAACAAAACACCATCTTATGCACTGTGCTAGATGATGAAAACAAAAATGTGCTCTATAAAAAGTCTCAAAAATGCGTGTAGAGATCTCTAGAATTTTCTATACTCATTTATGAGAGCCTAGAGGTCTTTATACAGTGCTTCGAGCCCAAATGAATTAAGGCTTCTTAGTTATAATCAGAAAAGGAAACCTAAACCTTGTAGGATTCTATTTTAGAGAAGTTTCCAAAAAGTGTGCCTAAAAATTTTTAAATTGTGCCCAAGTTTTTTCTGATCCTAACTAGGTTTTCAACACTTTAATGTAGGAACTTGAGGTCTATGTTTATATTTAATATAGAACTTTTATATGTCAAGCATAAATGTAATATTAAATGTTTTTATATAGAAGTTGCAACTTTGAACCACAAGTAATGCAAACATGAGATATGTAGGGCTGAAAATGAGCTAACTGTTCAAGGCCCTGTTGCATGCTTGTTCAGGATCCTTTAATTAATAAGCAAGTCCAGCACAAGCATCATGTCAGGATCATTAAGAAAATGACCCGACCTTGACCAACACCCAGGTTGGCTTGTTTTAGCTGGTGAACGTGAGTTGGAACCTAAGTTTAAGATTTGATTGTAATGTCGCTACGATACGAAGGCGTTGTATATACACATACATGTGAAAATTGGGTCAAATAAGGAAAAAAGATGTGAAGGAAGCGAAGACAAGGAAATTAACCAGTTAGATACCACACAGTTCTATTTTGTGAAAGACTTCACAATTGGAGATCATCATTTCTTTTATACAATTTCCTTTCTTTGGATCCTTCCACTCACTACCTTCCACACACTCTTTACAATTTTGTTTCCTTCCCCAATCTTCTCATATATTTTCTTGTTCTCAATCATCAGAGAATTGATTTTGTTTTCAGATCATGCTGGAAGACAACTTCCTTGCATGGATCCCTGTAAATCTCTGTCAGCTTGAAGCCTTGGGATTTTCTAGGATTATGTGGCTGTGAGGTTCATGGAGGAGGTAGGCTAAGAGTTGACATTTATGTTTCAACACAATGTTGGGAAGTGTCAACTAAATTTTGTTCACATGTCAAATTAAGAATCTTTTATTGCTAAAATGTAGACACATTTAAGATGCCAAAACATGTGGTCTAAAGTATCGGAGAAATGTTGATGTCCGGTTTTGACACATCTCATTGTTACACTAGTTTTTGCTTTTTAGGATGGGAGTAATGAAGCTGCAGTTGACTAATTCAATGTATTAAAAATATATATATATATATACACAAGTTCAATAATTGTGTATTTTAAAAGTTCACTTTTCACTTCAAGCTACAAATACACTGAATTAGGGGTCCTAATACACCGAGAATCACTGTTCTGTAATATTCCAAGTCCAAAAGTCCTCCAAGCTCTTCTTTTAAAATTACCATACTATCCCTATTAAATCAACATCTAACTAGCTACCATTGGACATGGAGTTTGTTGTGCCCATCTTCTCACTCACACTATCATATCTACCAATAACCAAGCCATAATTCATCTTCTTCTTTCTTCCCTTACCCTTGCACACCATCACCCACCAATTTATTTCTTCGTAAACTATACTTCTCTTCTCCATCTAAGTAAATTAAACTGAAGTGCTAAACCAATACTAAAAATGATTGAGCGATTGGCTTGATTGCTATAGAATCCAGCATATATAGGACACCAAAAGGATGTTTGTGAAGATAAAAAAGATGTTTGCTTAGGCTTTAAGTTGAACAATTTATATGCTTGAAGGTTTTTAGTTGGTACCAACACTAATTAGTCAATTGAAAACCTGAGAATAAAGCAAAATTCTGATCATTATATTTTCATTTTTTTTTTCTTTTTGAGAAGATTTTTTTTTTTTTTTTTGGGGGGGGGGGGGGGGGGGGGGGGGGCGCAAGAGGAAGAAAATTATACCCAAAACTTTTATTGACCCATGAAGGAAAGAAACAGAAATTTTAAAACTGGCCTCAGCAATCCATTGGTAATTTGGTACCATATACATCCAGGTGCTCATGCACATACACAACATATATATATGGATGGATAGACTCCATGGTTAGTAGGGTTATGTGTATGGTTTAATAAGGATACTTTAATAATTTAATGATAAAGAGTTTGGAGGACACTTTTGACATTGGATGCAACCTAAGTGGGAAGTAAACTTGTAAAATACACAACTTTGTTTTTTGATAGTCTTAACTTCGCTCAAGTGCAGTTTTCCTTTGATATTATGATATCACATTTGTATAGGACTGCTGTCTGACTAATTTGTTCTCTTTCTCTCCCTCTCACACACACACGCTGTAGTTTGATTTCTATGTTAGATTTCCATTCAAAGCATGCTAGTTGTGTGGCTAAAACATAGCATGTATTGTTAAAAATTGTTACGGGGTGGAAGCTCACGGATGTTTTGGTTTTTGTGTCCTCATAAATGTGAGCTTATTTCTATTTCATTCAGAAAAATACAAACCGCAGAGTGCTTGTAGCAACTTAGGCCTTAAATTTAAGTTGTAATTTGTTTCTCTTATGTGTGCATACATCTCTCAACACACGCATCCAATTTCAACACTGATATTGAAACTTCACAATGGCAGGGTAAAAATGTAGCTAGATCTCTAGAACAGCCTGTGAGTGAGTCCCAGCCAAAGGCATCCACCTTCAGTTGCCCAATTTGTATGGGTCCGTTTGTTGAAGAAACATCAACAAAATGTGGTCACATTTTTTGTAAAAATTGCATAAAGACTGCTATAACTTCTCAGAAACAATGCCCTGCCTGTAGGCGAAAACTTAAAGCGAGAGACACCTTCAGGGTCTACCTTCCAACCACCGATTAGGTGAAAGCTTATACTGCTCTAATCAATGATGCCAAATTATGTAAGTTTTCCCTTTGCTTTCTTTATAATCTGTCTTTTTTGTGAAAGAAAGTAAAGAGGTAAATACCATTGTGCTTCAGAAAATGAGACCGGCTCTCTTTACCGTATAAGATGCAAAATAATTGTTTATTTCTTTGAATTCTATGTATTCTGCTCAATTGTTTATTTCTTTGAATTCTATGTATTCTGCTCAATTAATATATGTTTTTCTTCTTTCTTTTCTTTTTTTCAGTTTTGATTGATGATTGAGAACAATTGTGAGACATTTGCCTTTATGTTGCAGGTGGTTAGAGCTTAATTAGAATGATATTGATGAGGGGTGAACTAGCCTTTTTGCTTCATCTTGGAGAAATGAACAACGATTCTGTTCGGGACCAATACTCCTAAATTTTTGGGGTTAATATTTCTTTTGGATTTTCCTTGAGGCTTTTGTTGGCATACACAACCCTTATCTTTTTCTGTTTCAGTTGGCACAGACAAAATGGCTTTAGCAATATCTTTATACATAAGTTTTGCTTGAAGTAAAAGCTTTTATTGGTAAAGGTTTTCAGTGTTTTTTGGTTGTCAAATTTATAAATTTCGCTAGGACTATTTCATTATATATCATTCTCAATTTTATGTGTATGGATAGCTCGACCTGACAGATTCTGATTGTGGGATAGAGTGGTGGTTTTATTTGGTTAGAAGTGTTGTGGTTGAGCCCGCATGGGCTAGCTCCAATGGTTCAGGAGCTGTACACAGGAGCTCTTCACAAGGTCTTGTGTTCGACTCTCTTTGAGGGCAGCAAATCCGGACTTAAACGACATATCCGGGGATTTATCTGGCAGCCACACAAGTCCAGTGGACACAAAAAAAAAAAAGGTGCTTGTGAATCTTTTGCTGTGTTTGCTGTTGATTTCCAATATCAGACACCATTCTGTGGTTTCTGGCCAACTAGAGCCCTAAGTCCTTTTCGCTAGGGCTACAGATAATTCGTGAATGGTTTGAGTTCGACTTGTGTAAAACTTGGTTCTATAGCTCGGTTGGAGTTCAGTCTTATTTTTAAACTTGTTTAGTAAATAAGCTGATCCCAAATGGTATTGGGATAGGCTTGTGAATATGAACTTGTGCAGGAACGGTTATTTTTTTTCTTCACCGGTTATGTTTATGAATATGGGTTTATGTTGGTTTGTTTTTTTTATTTTTAAATTGTTTAAGCATGCTCTTGGTTTCTCATTGGGTACTGATGAGATTGATAAGTGAGTTTGGTAAATAAACTAATTGACAATTTCCATTAGTTACTTTATGAATACAAACTGGAATCAAATATGAATATGAGATTAAACTAGTTCCATTTTATCAAACGTGTACCTTTTGAATTGCTCCCAAGAATCGCAAAGATAATAGGCATCTACCACTTTCAGATTATAAGTGATGGATTATAAATCTTTTATAAGCATTTTCTATACAATTTTTTTCTTTGAATATCTTTGGTTTTTAATTCAAGAAGTTGGATACCCTATTAATGTGAATGGGCTAATAAATATTGCAATAATATATCTATATTACTAGGGGGTTAGAGAATTTCAAATCATTGATTTATAATTTATTTAATAAAATAATGTAAATAAAATATCAATAAGCAAAGTCCAATTAAAATAAAATACTAAAAATACCAACAAACGAAGTCCAACTAAAATAAAATAAGGATACCAATAATACCACCAGTTCAGCTAAAATAAAATGAGGAGTGAAGTGTTCCAAGCCATTAATTTATAAATGATATGTCTATACTATTATTAAAAATATATTAATTAATATAAAAAGAGTTTTTATACCAAGTAAGTGACCCAGTGGTATCAAGGTTCTACTTTTTAAAGGGAGATCCGGGTTCGAGTCTAGAAATTATAAAACTCTAACACAAATTACCTATTAATATAAAAAGAATTTCTATAAAACTCTAACACAAATTACCAAATTATTATGAATTTTTAATTTTCTTAATTAATATTATTTATATATAATAAATAATAATGCAAAATTATTCTTCTATATATATAATTTTTTATTTTATTTTTTCTTTACAGTGATACTCATACTTTTGCTCACGTGCGGACATATGTTTTACTTGTACTAATAAAAGTGTTTAGTTTTCTTATTTTATGTTTACATTTTCTTAGATTTGGGACACGCTTTTGGAATTGCCAAAAATAAAATTTGAAAATAAATCTACCAATATATTTATGGGCAAATTATAGATAGCACCCATGAGATGAAAATCTCGTTCACCTAGATAGAAGTATGCGCCATATATTGGTCAACCACCTTTGTGGTTTCATTAAGCTAACACATGACCACCTTCTTAAGTGATGCATCAAATTGGTAACTATATTTTTTTTGACAAAAATAATCTTGCTATTGTGAGAAGACCAAATTGTCCATTAATTGAATTGAAATTACATCATTCCAAAAGGACAAAAGTATGAAGATAATATTGGTTTTTTTTAGATGTAAACCTTAAAATGACCAATCGAAATGTGACAAATAAACAAATAAACATGATATAGGATAAATATGATTTATTAAAACCTAAAATAACAAATAAACCATAAAAAATGAGGAGAATATAAGAGGATGGGTAAAACAATAAGTTACACTCACCCACTCCCTTCCAGAATTTTCTTTTAAACAATGGTTATGTGCATTAAGGTCATATAGATAAACTTACCTTCATCTCCGAAGGTCAACTAGTCAATTTAAACTTTGGTGTTAATTGGCACATACTTCTATTTAGGTGCACTAGATGAAAACCTCGTAGGTGCTATATGTATTTTGCCCTTTATTTATTTATATATATTGTAATATACTATTCGAAGTGTGTAGGTTTTGATTTTTTATATGCATTTTTTAAAATAAAATTTGGTTTTTAATCCAAGAAATTGGACAAACTAACAATTTTAATGGCCCAATAGTTACACCTATTGGAAATTTCACTAACCTCTTATGATTGCCTACCAAGTCTAGTAGTATTAAATAAGATGAAAAAGTCCTCAAGGGCCAGTGGTGTTGGTAGGAATTCGGAATGTAAGTCCTTGAGATCTTACTTTCGAATCGCACTCTTGACTCGACTGATACACTCTAAGAAAAAAAAAAAGATACAAAATAAATTTGAAAAAAAAAAAAATAATATATGTACTAAATTATCTGTATTTTTACATTTGATTATTTCCTTTTCTTTATATTTTATAAATAAGCTCCTATTCAATCTAGGTCTCTAAGAAACATAATCTCCACCACTCTAAGACATATCAATCATAACTTTTATTCAATTTAGAATGTTAAAGGATAAAAGAAAATGATGTCCAATTTATATCAATTAAACGTTTTCATGATTTGAACAAAATGATATTCAAGCCAAAAATAAAAATATGCAGATGGATACAAATAAAAATAAAACATATTCATGCGATGGTTCAAGGGGAACTGATACAAAAAAGTCAAGAATTGTTTTGAGATCCTATGTGATGATGCTTCGGGCTGTTGGTGTGACAATAGATCAAGGATCGAGCCTGATTTTGATATCACTGTTCTAATTCAAAAGTTTAAAATATTAAATAGTGCGGGTTAGTATCCATATAATTTCATGAATGTATTTTCATCTAAATGTGGAACAATAACTTCTAGTAGTTGTCCTCTACTCCTTTTAAGGAGGTTGAGAGTTCAAAGGCCCAATGGAGTCGTCTCGACTGAATTAGGCCTTTCTAGGTCGACAGTGAGGCCCACTGGATCAGACCACTTCATTGAACCCAATTAGGTTCTCTTTTCGAGCGTCAACAAGCCCTTCGAGCTCAGTATACATCAAAGCTGCAAGGCGGGAGATTACTCATCGAGAAAGAGAGAGAAAAGAAAAGAAAACGAGAGAAAGTGCAGAGAAAATGGGACAACCCTCGCAAGCAATCATTCCCTTTTCTGACTCGCTCGATCTCGACACCATTCGCAGGTCCTTAACGTTCTTCCTTCCCTTCTCTCTCTATATTTACTCACATAAATCATGTATATATATATGTATATATTCTTGTTTATTTATTTTTGATTTCAGTCGAATTAAGGAGCTCGAACATAGTCATAGAACTTCTAGCTATGCTTCTGAACTATTATCTCCTTCGGATTCGGAGCAATTACTCAAAGATTTTGCTCCTCAGCTCCAGGTAAACTCAAATTCTATGTACTTGAACTGTTCAATTTTGTCAATTTCTTACCTCTCTTATGTAATTTCAATTTCGCAATTGTTGTTCCACATTTTTTTCCTTTTCCTTTTTTATTTTTGAAATAAAATCAAACAGAACAAAATCAGTGAAGTTTTATCAGAGTTCTCTGAGGTGGGCTCCTTAACATCTGAAGATTTAGGTAAACTTTTTTTTTTTCCTCTCTCTCTCTATATATAAATTTATATTATATACACACATGTGTCTTAAATTGGGTAATTGGTTAATTTAGATGCATTGAAAAGGGAGCTTAACTCGGTGGAGGCTGAGAAAGTGAAAATCTCTAATGAAATTGAGGAACTTACAAGGGCTTATGTTGAAGGTGGGACGATTGTAATTTTTTTCTTGCACGTATGTGTTTGTAGTGGTTGAAATAATTTTTTTAATTTTATTATTTTGTATTTTCAGATTCTAATCTATTGGATAGTGATCTTGAATGGTTGAATTGTTCATTGGAGCTCATTCCATCCCTGGTTGGTTCTATACTTCTATATTATAGAGTTTCTTGCATTCTAAAATCAATTCTTTCACTATTAGCAAGAAAAGACAGAAAGAATAAACAATCTTGCTTTGTAACTCTTGTGAGGTCTCTAAATGGGGCGTCTTATTTCTCTTGACAGAGAGCATTTACTCGTACTTTGGTGGCATGTTATTTAAGTGAAATTGTTGCCCGTTATAGGATGGCATGGCTAACAAGAGTCATACATGCACACACACAACCCTACATAACAAGAGTCATCATGTTTTCACTATTTTTTTTTACTAAATAAATTAATTAATGTTGTACAAACAAAGTTTTGACTCTCTGTAAAGTTGTAAATTAGCTTTTCTTGTTGGTATATAATTTGTTTATTCAATAACATTGAACTTCTTGAGATATCTATCTATTTTAGTGAACTTTAAAATGAGTATTATGAGCATAAAGCATACAGATTTATGGGGAGATTGTACATTTTCTTTTTAAACCTTTACGAGCATAAAGGTTTAACATCTTATATATCTTTTTAGGTGATAGGCTAAGAATCATAGGCACTTCTATGATGGAGCCGTGTCTGTGTCGGGCACCGTGCCAAACACCGACACTTCATGGACACTCTTGGGTTGAGGAGAATCAGACACTGGCCATTGCCGAGAATTGCTGCAAATAAGGCTGTGAATCTTAAGATGTAGATTGCTCAATTATTAGCGGTGGAACACTTCTAGTTAACATAATGTTGGAGTTAGTATTTGATAAAAAAGAAAAAGAAAGGAGGCATGACGAGAGAGATGAGACGGTTTGGAAAAGGATTTGTTTGATTCGAGGAATTTCTTTCTTATTGAATGTGCTGCTAAGTTAGATGGATAAAAGGTGCAAACAGCAATCCCTTTGCATCTGATCATATGCAGAATCATGCAGTTAAAGTCAATAGTAAAAAATTAGTGGACAATGTAGCAAGATGATGTGAATGGATACTTAATGCCTTCATCAGCTAATGCTGAAAGATATTATACTTGCATCTGATTCAAAATCTCAAAGTAAGAGAAGAATTGTTGAGAAGAAGCTTAAGCATCATCATATTAAAAGATTCTAGATAAATGAATATTGTATTGGTGAAAATGCGGTATAAAGAGCAAAACACTAGGGAACCTTGTATTTGTGGGTCCCCTGTCCTTTATATAATGATTATATCTGATTTCTATAGAATATCAGCATACAGCTCATTTATCTTGTTAGAAATGATAAATCTGATATCATATTCTGGTCATTTATGTTATCCAACTCTCCGAGGAGATCATCAATTTTCTTTTTCCTTAATAGTTGAGATACAGGCTGACTTTTTGTTAATGGTCTCTCTACCTCTATACTTCATCTATACCTTATTTGACTGGTACAATTTCTTTTATTTGTAGACTCTCCTTGAAGTATATGAACTTTCCACATACAGTGTTGAGGTTGAGAATGGATTTATTGTACTGATGATGCAAGCAGCTACCTTAAACACTCTGCTATTTTAACCTAAACTTTGTGCTTATAATGCTTCTGCACTATGCCTAAGGCTCCTGTTTTTTTCTCAAATTGCAATGCCATCTCTTGCTTGATTATTTCCTACTTCCGTTTCTATGTGTGTGTGTGTGTGTATATATATATATTCAACATTTTCATTCACCATATTCCAGGCCTTGTTTGAAGCTAATTTACAAATTTCATTAATTCATTCGAAACTTAACAATTTTTTTTTTTTTTTTTTTCATATCATATTCTAGGGTCTTGAGAAAGCAAAAGCGAATCGCGGTTGCTTTGCACATGGAGAAGATCAATCAAATTTATTAAATGCAAATGGAGACTGCAAGTTTAAGGTTTTACTCATTATATCCCATTGCTTAACAAGTTTTGCTTTGAAGATGTAAATTAACTTAGAAAAAGAAGAGTTTGGCATGTATGTAGTTCTCAGGATAAAAAATGTCAACATGTTAATTTGAGAATATCAAACCTTGTTCTTCCTCTTTGAAATTGCTAATTGTGGAATCATAAAATGAATGAAGCCTTAATACTAATTTACCTTGTTCTATATGTTGTTGATTTGGTACTTCAGTTTATATCTGATGATCTTTTCACTTTCCAGTGCTAGGATTTTTTCTCGATATTCTTGAGTTGTTCTATAAGGCCGTTGGTTTCGTTATACTATCTGTGTTATTGTCCATATTTTCCAAAAAGGAATGATTATGAGACACTTTCTTTGTTCCTTGAAGATTTGGGAACTCAGTAATCAGATTGAGAAGAATAAATCAACTTTGAAGACATTGAAGGACCTTGACTGCATTTTTAAAAGGTAATTTATCTATATTAGGATTATGTATTTTTTGTGTTGTTTATCTTGTTCCAATTGCTTGATAGATGTTTGTTTTTATTATTTTATTATTTATTATTATATATATATATTCTTAGGTTTGAGGCCATCGAAAAGATTGAGGATGCATTGACAGGTCTTAAAGTAATTGAATTTGAAGGAAACCATATTAGGTTGTCGTTGAAAACATATATGCCGAATTCAGAAAGGTTATTGAACCAGCAAAAATTTGAAAATATCACTGAGCCACTGGAACAGAATCATGAATTGCTAATAGAAGTTGTGGATGGGACCATGGAGCTAAAGAATGTTGAGGTATGTCAGTTAAACTTCTGATCTGTTGTCTTCATGCGTAACTTGGTTAAATAACTGAAAAACGGAATCTTAGCAATTCAAAACTTATACCATCACAGCTTTTATTTTAATGAATTATGATAAGCTTACAGTTCTGCCGTTCACAAAAACCAATCAATCATTTCTCACTGACCAGCACCTAAGCATGGAAAAAATTAAAACATTAGTACTTAATTAATTGATCCGTGGAAACTTGTAATTTGCCATGAGTGGTTTCTTGGGTACCTCCGTACCTGTGCTGTTTCTTAAAGTACCCGGCCTTCCAGTATACATTTTTTATTAATCAACTTGATTATGCAAAACTTGCAATATTACTATTAGCGGCTCAAGTTCCCATTATGGTGGACCTGCATATGCATCTCGAACTTCCCTTTCTAAGCGATGTTTATTATGGTGTGCTCAAGTTCCCATTTAGTTTATAAAATGTCACTTACATCTTGACTTGCACATATTATGAAACCCTTAGGACCTCTGCAGTATTAAAGGAATGGGTAAACAATAAGATAATTCATATACATTGCACAAAATAATTTAAACAAAGACAAACCTAGGGTGCGAGGCTCCTGCCGTTGCAGGTTTAGGGAGGGTTAAATGTATGCCGCCTTACCTCCACATGCGGAGAGGCTGTTTTTTTTTTGTTTCGAGCCCGTGATCTCAGGCTTGCCCTCTTGCACAATATACATATACATATACATATATATATATATACACAAAATGTGTAAATACTCCCTTGTCGTTCGTTAAGCCCCCAATATTTTCCAATTTGTGCAAATAAGTACAAATCTTCAATTTGGGGGTAATTGAACAATGAAATGACTAAAGTACCCTTACTTTATAATTTAAAAAATAATTGAAAAGGCAAAACGCAAAATGACAAAACTACCTTTAAGCTAAAATCACAATCTCTCTCTCTCTCTACATATATGTGTGTGTGTGTGTGTATCCCATCCAAAGAAGTCCCTTGGGTGTTCAATGGGAAGGGGCATTTTTGTCACTCAAAAAGGGTAATTTTGGGTTTGTCAAAAAAATCTGACAGCATATTCCAAGGGATATATGCAATAGGGGGCAATTTGCTACAAAATTTCAAATTAGAGGGATTTATATGCACATACTAAATAGCAGGGGTGTTTCTTGCACATTTTGTATATAGTGAGGTTTTTTTTTGCACTTTACCGTTTATATATATATATATCTATAGAATAAAATTAAGTCAAATTAGATACAATACTGGTTTGTTTTTATTTCATTTTGAACAAGGAAGGAAAACGAATTACATCACTTCTCACCTTGCTTTGTCCATTTTCTTTGAAGTACAAATCTTCAAATGTAAGCACATATTTTTTTTGATAAATCAAATGTAAGCATATATGGTGATAGTTTTTTAAGAGTATTCTAGTCCTCTCCTTCAACTCCTTGAATTTGTTGGGGGAAAAACCCTACTGGCATGATAGGCTAAACCTCTTTTCTGGCTATCCACCAAGAAAAAAAGGCATTACCCAGTGTACGTTGCATGTCCTGCCTACACAAGGTGCTTGGCTAACAAGAGTGTGGAAAATTGATAGTCCATGTAGTTTTATCCTATTTCTACTTCCCTTCTTGTTCAGTTTTAATCACAGTATGTGTATTTATGCTCATATTTGTGTATGTATACCTATTAACACACACGCATATCACTACTTATTCAAAGGATAATATCACATTCTGTCTCTGCCATTTTAAAAATTATTTCTTAGAGTTTTTGAACCCTTTGAATTTGAGCTATGACGTTTGTGAAGTCACTTATATATTCTGAAAAAAAAAAAAAAAAAAACGAGTTATTTGAAATTTCCCCTCATTATTTTAAACAGGAATTTTTTGTAAGAAATATTTTGATATTTTTAAAGTCCTTTTCAAGAACAAAATAGTTCTAAAAGTTGCCATTATCTTTTGAATAATATCAAACTCGGATAATAACAATAAGGGGACGAAAAACCCAGTTTAGGATTTTTGAATATGATTTTTTGATCTCTTTAACCAAAAGTGAGCCAAAGTTAATCAAAGCATGATGGTCAAAATTTTGTTTCAAATTAAATTAAAAAAAAAAAAAAGGAAATGGAAAGAGAACAAGGAGAAGAAGAGTTTGCAAGATCTCATATAGAAGAACCAGCCTTTATTGAATCAAACTCTGCGAGGGGATGAAGAAGTCAAGACTTCAATCTTATAGTAATGACAATAAGGGTGATATCTGTTTTCTTTGCAAATGGGAGAAGTTGAAGTTAAGAATAGAGCATGGCCTAATGGGGTATATATAGCCATTGATTTATCTCCAGGGTACAGTCATACACCTGATTACCAACTTACCACCCGTCACCATGAGCCTGATTGCTGCTAGCCATGTAATGTACCCGTAAGCACATATCAATGAAGCTCTTTAATGCTATTTATTTGAAAGACAGCATGGATCAATAAGCTCACGAAACTAGCATGTAAGTGTATTAAAAATATAAAATCCTAGCTATCTGAGAATTAAAGAAACACCCAATTTAGTTTGTTGCCCAAGTATCTTTTTTTTTTTTTTTCTCTTGCCTACGTATCTTTTTTCTTTTATCTATACCAGTGAAGTTTAGAGTTTTATATTTTTACAGGGTTTTGGTTGAGTTTGGCAACTTAGGCCTTTGAGTTGATTAGAATTTAGGAAACAATGTACTTTTATCCAGCTCATGACCCATCCCAGCCTCTAGTTCGATTGGAACACACTGGAGGGTTGCACTTGATTTATCCACAAGTTTATCTTGGTTTCAAGGTGTTGTGAGCTGAAACTCATTCCAATCAATGTTCTTTCTGTTGACTTTAAGAGAAAATCAAAATAATAGTAAAGTAGAAGAAGATGAAGAAAAAGAGAAGAAAGAGGAGGAGAGAAAGAGAGAGAGATGGGGAAATAGAGAAACAGTGAAAGAATACTTTCATCATTCCAACACATTCTATTTATCCTAACAAGTTTCAAAAATTACACATAAGCACCAACATTATATAAGTAATAACAAATATGCCCTTAACAACACTTAAGCTGGTGCAAAGACATCTATCATGCCTTGACTAACATATTTTACAAGCAAGTCTTATTCACACCCTTAGTCAAAATAATCAGCAACCTGATCATGTGTGCTGACGTATGAAGTATAAATCAGCCCAAGACGAAGCTTTTTTAGTTTCCTTGATGAAGTGTCGATCGAATTCAATGTGCTTTGTCCTGTCATGTTGAACTGGATTGTGGGCAATGCTAATAGCAGCCTTGTTGTCACAATACAATTTCATTGACTCGTGAACAGGATAACTCAACTCATACAGCATAGTTCGTAGCTATAACAACTCACAAAGTCCATGTGCTATGGATCTGAATTCCGCCTTTGCACTAGTTTTGGCTTTCTTCTTCACTATGAAACAAGATTACCTCCAACAAATGTGCAATATCCTGAAGTAGATCGTTGATCTCCCACAAACCCTGCCCAATCAGCATCCATATAGGCTTAAACACAGAAGTGGCCATGACGGCCAAACAATATCCCCTTACCTGGTGAACCCTTGCAGAGAACATGATGAGCTGTCTCAAGATGAGGTGTACGTGGGGCATGCATTAACTGACTAATCACACCAACGAATCGCTAAAATCTTCCCACATCATCTAATTGGTCGCCATCCACATCATTAAGCCTATGGATCTGCTCAATGGGAATATCAATAGGTCTAGCTTCAAGCCTGCTGGTTTCAACCAACAAATCTAACACATATTTCCGTTGAGTAATGAACACTTATTTTTTGGATCTGCACACCTTGATGCCAAGAAAGTATCTTAATGATCCGAGGTCTTTTTGAACTCTGTCCCGAAGAATGACTTCATTCAATGAATCTATTCCGTATCATTTCGTGATAACAATATCATCAACATATATAATAAGGGTAGTGATGCAGCCCTGGTGCTTCTTAATGAAGAAAGTATGATTTGCGACTCTGTGTGTACCCTAATCTTTTCATAGAAGTGCTAAACCTCTCAGACCAAGCACACGGCGTTTGCTTTAACCCATACAAGGCTTTATTTAGCTTGCACACTAAATTCTGACCAGTGGCAAGCTTAAACCTTGGTGGCATAGCCATAACACCTCTTCCTCCAAGTCACCATGAAGGAAACCATTCTTTGCATTTAGTTGATGTAAAGGCCAATTAAAATTAGCTGCCAAAGAAAGGAGGACACGTATACAGTTCATCTTGGAAACTGCAGTAAATGTTTCTAGATAATTAATCCCATGGGTCTAAGTGAAGCCCCGTGCAACTAATCGGGCTTTATATCTCTCAATTGTTCCGTTTGCATGATACTTTATTGTGTAGACCCATTTGCAGCCTATTGGTTTTTTATCCCTAGGCAATGAAACAATATCCCAAGTAACATTCTTCTTTAGCGCCTTCATTTCCTAAGCATGGCTACCTTCCATGGAGTTTGACTAAGAGCATCTGAAATACTAGAAAGAACAAAAACAGACGAGATAGACGAAGTGAAAGCACGATATGTTGGAGATAAGGCATCATACGATACAAACTGAGATATGAGATGTTTTGTATAACTACGAATACCCTTATGATAGGCAATAGGAACATCAAGATCAACGGTAATGCTATTAGGAAAATAATCAGGAATATCAATTTCAATTGAGGGATTACCTCGATCAAGGGAGACTGATTGTTCTTGGGGTGAGTTAATGACTTGTTTTGCCCGCCTAGTATAGACAATTGGCTGCTTTCCTACTGTACATCATAAGTGTTAGGAGGTGTAGACCGCATCTTAGTGAGAATCTCCCCTTGAATGGGAACAGGCAATGGAAGAGGGCATTCCCTTTGAATGGAAGACGGATTCTCTACACGAATAGTAGTCTCCCCTTGTAGAGAATCTCGAGCAGTGGAAAAAAAAAGGAACAAACTCAAAGAATGTA